TAAGTACCGCCCGCGAACGGCATGCCATCAGCACCCTGATCTGCTGGGGTCCTGGGGAGCCGAGCCCTTTGGCTGGAGCGTGCTGGGAGTGGGAGCTGCAGGGTCCCAAAGGTGCACTCGTTGCCCTTCCGTTGCCGAAAGCTGACAAACATTGTGCGTCAGCCAGAGGCCTTTCTCTGGGCAAAGATGGGCCTGAAATACCCAGCAGAGATTTTTGGATTGGGTTCTTTCCTTCCACTGTCGCCACTGTCTTTTCTTTCACCACTCGATTCCTCTTCCCTGCATCATGGAGGCTTTCTTCGGGCACCCCGGCTGCTTGGGCGCATTCTGCTGTCCTCTGGACACATTCTCTCTCCTGCCCTTACCTATCCCAGCTTCCCATCCCCCTCCATGCTCTGAATGCTGTATCCCTCTTTCTCTGGCTTTTGCGCTGGAGGATTCCTCGCCAGATCCCAGCTAGCTGAACGTTACGCAGAGCAAAGACCAAAGACCTTGACCTGATTTAACTAATTTGGTTTTAGCACCAGTTTGGATTCTGAGGGAGCGATTTCCCCTGGCAGCACAAACCAGACCCTCTCTGTGTCCAAGCCTAGTTGCTGCCCTAGAAGGGCAGCACAAGTACGTGTGTCTTTCTCCCTGGAAATCCCAAACACCATTTTTAGAAAGCCCTTTCATTTTATTTATTTTCCCTTCCTGGCACAGTCAGTGTCTGCGGATGGCGAAGCAGCAAGGAGCTGTGTGCTCCTTGCCTATTACCTCAGGTTTAAAGTGTCGCTTCCTATCAAATGCAAAGCAGAAGAAAGCGGAGCTTTCATGCATTCTTTTTTTTTTTTCACTCTTCCATCCGTTCTAAATTTATTTCCATGCCTTGCCGGTTTCAATCTGCATTTCCTGACCCTCGCACATCTCCAGTCACAGCCTGTGCTCCCAGCTTTCCTTTTGAGCTGGGAGCGAGTCAGGGGGGAGCACTGCTCTGCGCTTGGGAGGGTAGGATGGGGTTAAAGTGAAAGGCTTGGTTTTAACAGTATAATGTGTAACCCCATAATGACTTTAAATATTGATTATTTGAAGGCCATTAGTGCTTATTGTTAAAGAAAAGTCGATACTTTTTAAGCCTTGTGAACCATTTGTCTCCTGTTAAAGGACATATCAAATTTAGCAGGAGCTCTGCAAGGTAAGGACAAGGCTTATCAGATGAAATTGCCAAGGGCTAAATTCACGTTCTCAGAGCATGGGGCTGTAATTCAGCCCTTCCTCTGAGAGGTGGAAGAGGAGGAGGAAGGAAATTAATGGAGGGTTGAAGGCTGATGTGTACCTGAGAAAGGATGCAAGGATTTGTGTTTTGGTGCACATCTGTGTAAAAGCACGGTAGCCTTTGTTAAGGTCTCTGGGGCTTTTTACTCTGGGGTTGCCAGTTCATTTCCAGGCTTGCCTGGGAGAAATTGTCTCTGTCTGTACCCAGCAGCCTGGGAGGGCTTCCCAGCTCTGTGCCAGGACGTGGCCTGGTTGTGCTCCCTCCCTCCTGTGCCAGGTTTCCACACCGAGGATCACAGAATCACAGAATGGTGGGGGTTGGCAGGGACCTCTGTGGGTCACCCAGCCCAACCCCCTGCCCAAGCAGGGTCACCCAC